CTTTCAGGTTGTCCATACCATTTGACTAAGAACCCGAGTTGGCGGTTGAACGTTCTTTTATTTAGGAAATTCTCAACATGTAAGTTCGTCGTCGGTAGTATCGTCGAGGATAACGGGTGTTGCTTTGGGAATCGGTGATGCAAACTTGGGATCATTGTGCTTGTAATGCTTGCGTCGGTCTACGTTGAATACGTCATGCAAACGCGACATGGGCTCGGGAAGTTTGAGTTGCATTGCGTTATCGTTGATGACTTCGACAATTCGAAATGGGCCCATGAATCGTGGCACTGGTTTAGGTCGTTCGGTCTCGTTGAGTTGTTGAGCATGCTTGAGCGGCAAGTTTCTCGTTGCAAATATTACTTCGTCGTCCAATTTGAATGCAGGACTTGATCGTTTGCGGTCATAATATTCGTTTTGTCTTGCTTGAGCCTTGATTAAGTTGTCTTGAGCCATTTACAGGATTTCCTTACGATTTTCTGAGAAGTTCTGAGCGAAGTCGTTTCTCGGCAAGATGTTGTCTGTAACAGGATTTCGAAGAGTTCTGTCGGCATCGACTTGAAGCGGCGTTAACCCATGATATAATTGTACGAGACCTTGGTGGGCATATTCGATGGTTGGTAAATGATCAACCCAATCGTCTCCAAGATATGAGACTTGGCATCGGAGAGCGTTTTCTAAGGTGCGGTCCTGACTTTCGGTTGCTCCATCGACTTGTCTTCGACCGGCTTTGGTCATGGCTTGGCGAAGTTCATGATTTCCATCAAGGTTTTCCAATCGTTTCTTCTAAACTTGGGGTCTCGATCACTGATAATGACACTTGGTTATCCGGGGTGTCTGACAACGTGATCAAAGAACAACTGGGCGGTTTCGGATTGTCGGCCTTCGTGGTTGTTGGAATGTACTTTGCTCGTTTCGATAACTTTTCTACTACTACCAAAATCGCATCGCATGATTTCGACATAGCAGGCCTGTAATCCAATCGGCTGATATCATGTGCCAACATTCTTCCGGGGCTTGAATTGGAATCATTTTGCCATTCGATCGCAAACTACTTATAAATTTCTTAAAATAACAAATTATCTTTATGCTACATGTTTTTTTGTTTTTTTTTTGTTTCACAGGTTGCCAAGTATAACTTTAAGTCTTTCATCATTGCATCCCAATAGTACCATTGGGCGACGCTAAGTGCAGTGCGCCGTGTTCCGGGATGAGCTGCAATACTAGCATCATATGCTTGGTAGATAATCTCTGCTCGAAAGTTGTCATCTTTAGGGACACAAAGCTTCCAGACTTGATCTTTTGAACGGAGAAAGTAGGTTCCGTACTTGATGATAAACTTGTCTGTTCTTGTCTTACGTTTGAATAATGCTTCGTTCTTGTATGCTGCAAGTACTTTGTGGCCTACACCGAAGCGCACTCCAACTACACGGCCGTCTACCCACTCAAGACCAAATCGGTCGATGAAGTTCTGGCCAGCTTGCAACATTTCCACGCGTGACCCGAAAACCAAACCGGCATCTACGTGACCACGTTCCACTCGGACAACGGCACTGAGTTTGTCAACGACAATTTCCAAGAGTACCTCGAAGCCTTTGGGATCCACCACGAGCCCAGTGTTCCGCACCGCCAGCATCAAAACGGCAAGGCTGAGCGCATGAACCGCACACTAAACTCCTTACAACAATTGCGGAACAACTCCGAAGAGATTAAGTCCAGCCCAACCCATGGAGGATTGCGTGATGCCAAAGTTCACGACCACACAACCGGACACCAAGGGGCAAGGGGCAGCCAGAGACTTTTTTTAAACCAAGGAGTGCTACCAAATGTAGCAACTGCTCGGCGCTGGAGGAAGCGGGGTAGGTAGGAACTGTGCGAGGCGATGTATATTGTAGAATGAGATTATGATTGAGTTATGAGCTCCTAGAAACTCCACATCCGTCATGTCTTTACGATCCTTGAAGGAGTCACATCCTCGTCGGTCGCTTTTGTACTTGATATATGCATGTGACAAACAATAATGCAATGATGTCAATACATTTGTAAAGCTGGATTCTTGTCCACGCTCGACATCTTCGCGATTTGATTCGTTGATCTCTACATTCCCAGTCCGGTTTCGGAGGGTTCCGTTGACTAAGCGTAAGTTAGTACTTTTTGGGGATCCAGTTTGTACTAATGGTACATCAAACACCGTACTTAACGGGACGGGTTGAAAGGAGCGGTGGTTAGAATTTGTTCGAGTAACCTCGTCGCCGCCGCCGCCGCGCCGCCACCGTCAGTTGTTCAGGTGATTCATTGATGTCTCAACCGAATAACAACCCAACCGTGCAGCAACAGCCACCTGACGTGCCCGTGACGTATGCGAACTGGACCGAGTACATAGACGACGACACGGGCAAGCCTTACTACCACAACAACGTCACTCAGCAATGCGTGTGGGAAGCACCAGAGGAATTTCGCGTGGAGAAGGCCCGCGCCGACGTGAAGAAGCTATTCGATCCGTTGCAGCAACGAAGTGTATCAAAGGAGCAGACGGACAATAAAAACACGACGACAAAGGAAGAACCATCCTCCTCGCCTCCCGCCGTGTCTCCTGCTGCCGAGTCGAAACCGGTCGATCCTGCTCCATCATCTGAAGTCGAGTCTACCCCCGCGCAGCCTGTTGAGGACATTGAAGAAACGTACAAGAAAATGACGCAAGCTGAGAAAGTCGCAACGTTCAAAGCACTGCTGAAGTCGGCTGGCATCCAGCCCAAGATGAAGTGGAACGAATCAACCAAGCTCTTGATCAACGCGCCTGCTTGGAAGGTGCTGAACACCGTCGGGGAGAAGAAGCAGGCGTTTGCCGAGTTTACGACACAACTCGCGAACGAACTGAACGTCGAGAAGCGGCGCAAACAAAAGATTGCTCGCGAGAACTTCCTCAAGTTGCTCGCGGGGAACGACCGCGTGACGTCGCAAACTCGGTGGCCCGATCTCTTGGACAAATCGCTTGGACTCGTCACAGACGACCGGTGGAATGACGTCGAGGACGACGCCGAGCGCCGCGACTTGTTCTCCACGTACATTGCGGACTTGGGTCGCAACGAACGCGAATTCAAGCGCCAACAGCGCGATGCCCACCGCCGCACATTTCTCGCGACGCTTCGGGATCCGTCTCAGCATGGCTTGGCGCTAAACGCCACAACCAAGTTTCACGAAGTACGCGACAAGCTCCTCGAAGTCGACTCCATCAAGGCGCTCAACTTGCATCGCGCCGATGTTCAAGACTGGTTCAATGAATACATGGACGACCTTCGCCGAGAAGAAGAGTTGAAAAAGCGCGAGGAACGTCAGCGGCTGCGGGAAAAGGAGGACGAGTTGGCCGCCACGTTCAAGGCATTTCTGAATGACGAGGTTTGAGTGACGTTGGCTTTCACGCTGCGAAAAGGACCCTCATGGCGATGTGAACGTAGGTAAAAGCAAAGCGCCTGACGACGGCATCGCGGTGGCGCGACTGCTGGAGCGGCTACGAAGCCAACCCAACGTACTGCGAGCTGAAGAAGCTGCACAGCGGACTGCCGCGAGACATTTTCGAGTCGGTCATGGATCGGCTCCACGACGCACTGCGCGATGAAAGGTACGTGCGAACGAGACTTTCAAGGAAGATATAAACACAAAACTGCAGGTCCTGGTTGAAACACGTGGTCGCAGATGCCGAGTTTGTGGTCAAGTACAATTCAACATTGACGTTGTTTTTGCAGCACATTCGGCCGACGGTGGAAAAGTTTGTCCGCGACAGGGACAATGAGTCCGGTGCGTCGCCACGGCAAGCGTTCCTCTCGTCGCTTTTGGACGAAGCAACGGTGCCGGCGTCGGTCGCCGAGTGGTTTGACGCCGCTCATGCCAAGGAACTGGAGCGATACCAGCGGTACGCCGACAAATCGGAAACCTGCCATCCCTCATTCGAGTTTTTCAACGTAGCATGGAAGCAGAACGGCTGAAAAAGGTCGACGCGTTCGAGGAGATGCTGATGGAGTATTATTTTCGTTCGGACCACTTGACGACGACTTGGGAGGATGCGCGCGCGGAAATCCAGCACCGCAGTGCGTATCGCGCGCTGGACGACGGTGCCGAGGTTGCGTTTCAACAATACATGCAGAAATTGCAAAAGAAGATGGAGTCGTTGACGAAAACCCGCAAGGCCGTGGAAGCGTCGGGTACGTTTCGACGCCTCACGCGTCATGCGTCTCGCTTTGTTTGACCCACTTGGCCACGCGTAGAGCTCGAGCGCGCTCAATTCCAGACGCCAGACAGCGATGCGGCGCGGCGCCACCACCGCTCGCCGTCGCGGTCGCGATCGCGATCGTCCCACAAAAGGAAGCGGGCGGATCGGTCCGTGTCGAAAGAACGGAAGAGGAGCAAGAAGAGTTCGAAGAAAAGCTCCAAGAAAAAGCACAAGCGCAGTCGCAGCCGGAGCGGGTAATCCATCCCGCCACAACAGGGTAACTCACATTCGCTCATGTTCGTCTTCGAATAAGCAGTACAACTGTTTCCCGGTCAATTTTAACAAAAAAATCAATCGCACTTGGGTTTATTCGTCGAGTTGGATGCCTCGGGTCTGCCTGCCATGACAGCATGCAGCGCCAAGTGCCCCGTGGCGATCACGACTGGCCCCAGGACTGCCAGGTAGGTCAGCACTGCGAACATGGTGAGCTGCAACCAGAACAGGCCATAGAGCCCCAGCACCGCCAACACGGACGCAAAAAACCCTATCGTCACCACGACACCACCAAATGTCGAGGGGACGTTCGCCAGCGATTGAGTGCGAAGCGCCCACAGAACGAAAACGACGAGCGGCACCAGGACGAGCACTGTGAAGACGTATGACACAACTTCTCTGGGTCTCGCAGCAGGAGGTCGCATCGCATGTGTGATCTCTGGCAACGCATGCAGCGTGACGTCGCTCTCATGCAAGAGCGATGTCGTGTAGAGAGGCGGTGATGGCGCAGGCGGGGCTGGTGGAATATCAAGCGCGACTTGACCTAAATTCCACTCGATAGCATTCTGCGAATTTTGCGTCAGAGAAGACACCGAGTTGCGAGGACAGTATACCTCAAACTGGACGTCTCCAACGATCAACTGCACGCCGTAGAGACCTGACAGAAGGGAAGCATCGACAGTGACAGCAGCTTGCATGGTGCTGTCGGTTGTGGACTCGAGCGGGAAAGTTGCATCTACGGACGATTCTGTGTTGGTGAAGCGGAGGACTGCTTGATGGGCCACCATGGGCTTGAACGTGTATGCATCCTGCAACCCAACTTCGATCGAAAACTTGTCGCGTGGTTTCAGGGTTGGAATTGCCGACAACGATGACCCAAATTCGACTTTTGCGCCGTGAATGGTTGCATGGGCCACAAATACCTTTGTGGTCAACGCCGCGTGAAACACTCTGCTGGCTTTTCCATCCTGCACAAGCAGCTTGTATAGTCCTGGCAAGGCCAATTCGCCATCCAGCATGAACTCGGAAACGCTGGCGTCGTCCACGTTGACTCGGTGTACCAGTGGAACGTCGGCCGCAATGGTTCTTAGCGTAGCTGCGTTTTGGATTGATTTCAACACGGGAGACTTGTCTTCGACACCAGTAAATATGAACGTCACATCACCCCCTCCGCGCTGAACAGGGTTACTCAGTTCCAGAGCCGTGCCAAGCACAGCTGATGTTAGGACTCCCGCCAACCACCGCACAAGCCGCATGTGCTAACCGATGAACCCCTTGCACACGCCCGCAAACGTCAACTGTGAAACATGTTATTTTGTGGAAATTCATTTTAAAACGAATTTAGTTTAGAAGGATTTCAGGGATAAACCTCTAACATTCAATACAATTCCTACAGCAGTGTATTAACCTCGGGTTGTTGACCGCTGCTGGCTAGGCTTTACCCAACACGAGGAAACTGCAAGTCGTTGCAATACTTGGACAAATCTCTTATAATACGCCATGCGTTCCGAACGATGGATTGAAGGCCTTAGATCCGCGCATATGCTGGCGCTCCACTGGACGCAATTCTCGCAAGCTCGAGAGGGGCTTGGAACTGACGAGGTCATGAGGGCAAGCCGTCGTGCGTACGGCGTCGTCGATCGATAGCTGGGGCACTCTCAAATTGCCCACGGGCGTCTGCACCGAGGGATTGTGGCGTGAAAGGTGAGAGAATGATCTCGCGACTACAAGGTGGTCGAGCGGGGAATTTTAGCCAGTAGAATTTACAAAGTGTTCTATTATGGCCAATTAGATTATGATGATTCTTATTTTCGTCCAATCAGAGGCCGAATTAGAGGGGGTCGTTTCGTTTTGGTGTTTGGCTAGTGGAGTTTTTTGACCAAAAACTCGAGTATTACTACTGGGAAGGACGAGTGAGGGAGCCGCGCCGCCGCCACTTCGTCGAGACTCGTCCACCTCAAGCACGCCCACGCCGAACGACAGCAAGAAAAGCTTGTCGCAAGGGTCAATTCTCGAGAAGAAATTGGAGCTGCTTTTGTGTCGACACGTCAAGCTGAAACAGACTTGGCCCTCAGACAGGTCGACCTTCCATCAGCATCCACCAAACGCAGACGTTCCCTCGACCACACCACGAAGGACCGTCAATATTGCTGTCATAGTCCCTGGAAACGTCCACCACAGTCAAGGTAAGTCATGCTTGCATTCAATGCGTGAGTTCCTATTGTTGGGACGAGCTTTCCTGTGGTGACCGTCCACGACGACTTCGGAAAGGCCATACTTTTTTGAAATTTGTTCCAGCCCCTGTCATCCCTGCTTGTCTGTGAAAGGTGTTCCTGTGTTCGCATAAAAGTCTCACAAGTGTATAACGTCGACAGGGCTTTCCACATCCACCGCCGCAAATACAGCAGCGACACATTCATCCACATCAACTAATGAACACAGTACGTGTGCAACCGTTGTCAGCCGTACTGTGAATGTTCACATTGTTGATGCTGCATCAGCAATTGATCAACACGGGCTTGCAACCCCCTCCCAACCTCATCGTGAATCCAACACCAACCTCTGAGGCCACCGTGTCGACCTCAACTCCCAATGCCGCCACGGCTATCCCCCCTGCAGCGACGACTACAGTCCCACCAACCACATCTGCAAATCCAACTGCAATCGCCACCGCCACCACTACCATCGCATCCGCAACCCCAACCGCAACTCCTGTCCCAACCACTGCGATTGCACCTCCAGCCGACTTAGGGAACGCCAAGGAATCGTCGGAAGGCGCGGCCAAGACCAATGGGTCTAACGACGAATGGCGAAACAAGGAGAACGATCGGTCAGCTCGACAACACATTGCGCGCATCATGTAAGCAATGCACTCGATCTTAAGCTCTACAACCTTTGCCTCATCATGGGTGTCTTCTAGACTGAGTTTGATCATGAAGAGTGCCAATCGACCGGCTTCGAATAGCTACAACCCACGAGAGATTGCTCGGCGCTTAGAACACACCTTGTACATGAACTCATCGTCCAAGGAAGAATACAGCAATCTGACGACGCTGAAAGTGCGACTGCAGCATGCTCTGGACACATCCAGACGGCGGCAACAGGAGGCACAACTCAAGCAGGCGCAGGGTACATCCAGCTCAGACACCACAGCCACTGCCGTCGCCGCCACCACTACCACCACCACCACAGCTGGTCCGATGAAAGCGCCACCAGGTGTTTCAGCTTCTGCTGCAGCTCCCGCCGCCCTACCATCTGCCGGTCTCAAGGCTCCTCCCGCGTCCGCCACGGCCGCGCAAGCAGCGCAACTCAAAGCGGCACATACGCAGGCTATGCAGACCCAGATGCAACTGCAACAGGCACAATTCCAAGCACAAATGCAAATGCTCAACAAAGTTCAGCCTCCCCAACCTGGTGCCGTTTCGACTCCAGCCTCAGGAACGGGTAGTAATCCTGCGGCACCGGCGCCTTCGTCCAACATTTTGGAGGAACTGGAGCGGGAGGCCGACGAAATGGCCGGCAGCATAAGCGACCAGCCATTGGAAATGCCAGCGTCGGAACTCGAAAACACGACGGTTGCGACTACCGCGAACGCCAACATGATCAACATGCCGATAAACATGCTGAACATGGGTATGATGCAGAACCGAGGCGTTCCGTACGGAATGAACCTCCTAAATGGCAATGCCCCCTACGTGCACCCGCAACTGCAGTTGCAACAGCTCCAGCAAATGCAAATGCAGCAGCTCCAACTCCAAAAACTGCAGCAGATGCAGCAGCTTCACCATATGCAGTTGAATGCGGCAGCCAAAATCAACCAAGTCAACAACACAGCCAGCACCACGGCGGCTACCACGCACCTCGCGCAACCGCCCGCTACGACGACTGCTGGCCCGACATCGGCGGCGTCCGCAGTACCATCCACTGTCCCAGGCGGGGGGGTTGCACTTTCAATGCCGCCCGGCCTCGCTGGGGAGGTCACCCCCAAGCAACGCCGCGAAGAGTTTCGAAAGCGATTGATTCAACTCAAACACGCGCGCACGTGTCAAAGCAATCCGTGCGAAGAGCCCTTTTGCGCCAAAGTCAAAGTCCTCTTGACGCACGTCTCCAACTGTTCTGATGCCGAGTGCAACACGATCGGGTGTAAGTCGACGCGTCAGCTGCTGTCGCACTACCGCAAGTGCCGAGACATGCAATGCTACGTATGCAGTGCGATTCGAACGCAGAATCCAACCGGGCAAGCGTTTGTCCTCCGTCGGCAGCAAGATCGGCTGTGCATGCTTCGACACGCGTCAACGTGTGCAGCGCCATTGTGTCCGATGGCTTATTGTGTGGACATGAAGGTGCTGTGGAAACACATTTGCGAATGCCGCCAGTCGCAGTGCACGGTGGACCACTGCATCAGCTCGCGATATGTGCTGTCCCACTTCAAGCAGTGCCAAAAACCAGACTGCGGTGTGTGTGTGCCAGTGCGCCACGCCATCAAGATCATTGACTCGACGAAAACCAACCCCCAGGAACTTCAACAGCTCGCGTCGTCGTGTCCTAACGATGTGAAGGTGTTGATCCGTCAAATGACCACCGTCCCGATTTCGCTTCCGATGCAGCAAGGTGGCACGGGAGCCCTTGGCATGATGGCACCACAACCACAGTCGATTGGTGACATGAAGCCGCCGCAGTCGATACACTTGATGGGGCAACCTTTGACGCAGGCAGCCACCGCTCCTTCGGGGGTGAAACAGGAACAGCCATTGGGACCGCCATCGAATTTGATGGCAGCCGGTGGAGCTACTGTGCCACCAACAAAGGTACCGGCCAAGCCGAAAGCAAAAACCAAAGCAGCTGCGGTCGGTACCACTGGGGTGTTGGCTGGTACCCCGGTGCAAGCGACTGGAAAGACAATCAAGACGGAGGGAAAGGCCAAGAAGAACGACGCAAACCCCCAACCAAACGTCGCTGGCGCTCCGAATGCCATAAAGAAACCACCAGCTTCGGACAAAGAGAAAAAGGAGATTCGCAAACTCAAGGCGGAAAAAGCCAAGGAGCGGCAACAAAGCAAACTGGGAAACAACGGAGTCAAACCAGTGCAATCCCAAATTCCAAACAACGGCTCGACGATCAAGATGGAACCGGAATTCAAGATCCCGACCGTCATGCCCGCCAGTTCACCGACCAACGTCCTGAACAACGAGCAAGACTTTTCGTATCTTGATTCTATGACCGAAGCGCAGTTGGACGAGCATATCAAGTCGCTTCGGTTCAACTTTTGCGGCCACATTTCGATGGTGGAGCTCAAAAACCGGTTGATGCCGCTGCTGACGGCGGTCATGGAGACTGAACATGGGTGGGCGTTCAACACCCCCGTGGACCCGATTCAATGGAACATTCCCGACTACTTGGAAGTGATCAAGTGTCCCATGGACCTCGGTACCATCAAAAAGCGTCTCGAGAGCGAGCACTACGTGAGTGTCGAGTCGTTTGCGTCCGACGTGCGGCTCACGTTTGAGAATTGCATTGCTTACAACAGCAGCACCAACAAATTCAACCAAGCCGCCAAGCAGTTGCTCGTGCAGTTTGAAACAGCATTGCTGGCACTCAAGGAACAGCTCGAATCGGAACTCAAGAGTAGATGCGAACAACGGCGTGAAGAAATGTGTCAGTTGTGCGGTGGCGACTCGTTCAAGTTTGCCCCGTGCATGTTGTTTTGCAGCGGGCCGTGCACCGGTCGCATCCGCCGCCACACGCATTATTACAGTGACCCCCGCGGTGAATACCACTGGTGTTCGAGCTGCTACAAGCAGATGAAAGACGGTCCGTTGGACATGTCCCTGCTTCCTGTGTCGTCAAGTCCCGCCACCAACGACCCTCCGCTCACCAAGGCGATGTTGTTGAAAAAGAAAAACAGCGAAGTTGCCGAAGAGCCGTGGGTCGCGTGTGACACGTGCAAACTGTGGTACCATCAAATTTGCGGTCTTTTCAACGAGCGCAACCACGCAATTTCGGGCGAGCAAGAATTGTTTGTGTGCCCGTTTTGCACGATCAAGACACGGCAATCGGGCCAGATCCCACAGACCAAGTTTCCACTGCAAGCGAAGCGCCTTCCAGTGACGCGAATGGCCGCGCGCATTGAAAAACGCGTTGTCGATGCATTGGCGAAAGCGCAGGGTGAAGAACTGGCGCGCTTGAACTCTCTGGGCAACCTCGAGAGCGACGGGTCAAGCGCGCTCCATCCCAAGACAGCGACGCCTCCTCCTTCATTCGCAGTCACGATTCGGGAAGTGCTAAGTGTGGACAAGCAAGTCCAGATCAAACCGCGCATGTCAAAGCTCTTTGTCGCGAAAGAATTCATCAAGCCGGGTGACGGGACGTCTCAAGGTGTCAAGCGCACCAAAAACAACGGCGACGCGTCAGTCAAGAAGGTCAAGGTTGAAGGTGCCGATGCGAAAGCCACAGTGTCCACGGCGGTCGTGAAAAGGGAAAAAAAGGACAAGTTTGACTTGACGTATCGGTCGCGATGTATTTGCGTGTTTCAAGAGCTGGATGGCGTCGACGTATTGATCTTTACGCTGTACGTGCAAGAGTACGGCGACACATGTGCCGAGCCAAATCGCGGTCGTGTGTACGTGTCGTACTTGGATTCGGTCGCGTACTTTCAGCCCAAGAAATTTCGAGTGCTCATGCATCAGCAAGTGATTTTGGGCTTTCTCGAAGACGCCAAGATTCGCGGGTACCACACTGCACACATTTGGTCGTGTCCGCCGCTGAAAGGCGACGATTACATCTTTTTCTGCAAGCCGGAAAATCAAAAGATTCCGAAGGCGGCCCGCCTGCGGTCTTGGTACAGCAAGCTTCTCCAAGGCGCAAAGAAGGAAGGTCTAGTCTACAACATCAGCAACTTGTACGCGGAATACTACATGAAGCGCAAAACGGCGCTGGAACTGCCGTATTTTGAAGGCGATTACTGGCCGCGCCTAGCCGAAGATTTGATCAAACAAGTAGAGGAGAAGGCAAAGCCGAGTACTTCGAGCAAATCCAGCCATCGCAAGAGCAGCAGCGACGGTGATCCGAATGCTGCAATTGGTGCCGCTGCGGTTCCGACACAGGCGGACACTGTGGACCCACTGGCGGTGGTCAGCGTCAGCGGCAAACATTCGAGCAAAAACAAGGGCGAAGTCAATTTGGACCCGATCATGCAAAAACTGAAAGCAATCTTGGAGCCACAAAAGGAAGACTTTTTTGTCGTGGATTTGCATCCCCGGTGCCACAAGTGCAATGCCAGTGTAATCAACCGACCGTACTGGACCCTGAAGACGCTCGTGCCTACGCCCGACCCCGTGAACGACGTGATCGAGGCGCTGAAGAAAGCCAAAACGGCCGCCGTCAAGACATCGATGTTGCCGCGACATTACCAGCACTACTACTGCGCATCGTGCTACGACAGCAGCAAGAACAACATTCAATCGCGTGTCGAAGCATCGGTCGTCGGGGCGAAGAAAGCTCAGGACATTTATGCGGCTATCCAAGCTGCAAACAGCGACCCATCTACGTTCAACTACGCCGGTCACGATGTTTTGGACGTCAAGTATGAGCTGAGTTTGACAAGCTCCGTGAGCTCGTTGTTACTCGAAGGAGAGTCATCCCGCGCGGACCTGGCGCTCGAGCCAGACACGGACGAACTCATGCCGTGCGAAATCTTCGACACCCGCGAAGCGTTCCTCATGTACTGCCAGAACAACCACTGCCAGTTTGACCAAATTCGACGGTCAAAGCACTCGTCCATGATGGTGTTGTACCACTTGTTTAACCAAGGCACGACCGGGTTTACGTTTTCATGCCACAAGTGCAATATGACGCTCACGTCTGGCAAGCGTTGGAACTGTTCGATTTGCATCAACTTTAACTTGTGCGAAGGGTGCCGAGCCAAGACCAAGCACGAACATCCTCTGCACCCGTTCCAGATTGTGTCGATTCCCCAGCCCAAACACAAGACGTCGGCCGAAATTGACCAACACAACAACATGGATGGGTCCAACCTGCTTCTCGACAGTGCGTCGTCCAGCCGCAAGAAGAACGCCAAGAAACGACCAGGGCCGAAGAAAGGAAAGGGAAAGGGGGCCGGTGGAGGAGGTGGTGCAACCAAGAAGGCCAAACCAGACATGTCGTCGGCAGTCGACGAAGGCGCTGCTACAACTGCTGCGATTGCACAGGTTCCGATGCCCTCTCCACGTGCCACCACCACCATTACCCCTGTCGCAAAATCACCTGCTGGTCCTGCGACCATTGCAAGTTCGCAAACGAATGGTGCCAACGACGCGGCAACTGCAAGTGGTGCCGTGGCTGCACCGTCTTCCGCAGCTGTTGTTGCGGCTCCTTCGGCAACATCGCTTTCTGGTTCATCCAACTCGTCTGCTGCTGCCGCTGGCGCAGCGTCCGCCCAGCACCAACAACAACGCATTCACAATGTGGATCCGCAGCTCCTTGTCCAGCTCGAGCATGCAAGTCTGTGCAAACTCAGCGACGCATGTACGTACACCAACTGCAATCGCATGCGGGCCATGTTAAAGCACGGCGCGACGTGTGAGGCACGCAAGGTCGGGCCATGCCAGTTGTGCAAGCGCATCGTTGGTCTCTTGAGCGCGCATGCCAAGCAATGCACGAAACCGATCAACGAGTGCCAGGTCCCGCGGTGCACTGAAATCCGGCGACTGGTCGAGCAACAACAGCAGAAACAAGCTGCTGCTGCTGCTGCCGCCACCGCCAGCAGCGGCTGCCAAGTCCAACCGCCACCCGTGCAGCAGTAGCGGACAGACGAACGAGCGACGTAGTCGCGGTAGACGCCATCGAAGAGCAGGCAGGAGCATCGCTTCCTCGTTCGGGAAGCGACGGGTGTGAGTAAATACTAAGTTATTTTGCCTAAACGCATGGCTTCGTGTGTCCCTGCCTACCTTCAAGATGATGGCAACGAGAGGAGCGCCCGCTTCATGCAAGACACTGCTCCATGAAGCGCCGCAAGAAAGAATTGTACATAACCATTAATTACAGAGCGCGGCGGCCGAGTCGACGATGTCGGCCCGGGACCGGGGATACACAACCGAGTAGTGGAAGTCGACGTCGAACGGGTCGAGTCGATGCATGTGTTCAGCGTATTCTTGGATCCATTCGCCCGCGAGGCTGGCTTTGACATCGTGCTGGAAGAACGAGTAGATGGCTTCGAAGTCGTCGTCTGGAAGCGCATGCTGCATCCACGCCACCAACTTGGCGACGAACGTGCCTTCCTCCGCGTCCGCTCGGATGTGCGTAAACAGGTTGCTGAACGCTTCCGTTTCCAACGACGGCGTCATGACGACCAGGTTGGCCTCGGCCACAGCCTTCTCCTCGTCCCGCAGCACTCGTTCGGCTTCGTCCATGCATTCCAGCACCTTGTCCGAGTACGGCGCACCCGTGGGCACCCACAACGACTCGTCGTAGCACTTTTGCACGCGGTGGTACTGCGTCGCAACCTTGATGGCTTTGTTCGTCATCTGCCCCTTGTCGTGGAGCAGCCGCTGCTTGAGGACGTCGCAGAACGTCAGGTGATCCAGAAACTCCTCAAACCACTTGGAGAATTCAATCTTGTCCGCCTCCGACGCATGCAAGAGGCCCCCGGACAAGAGTAGCCGTCGCGCGTGCAGCATGTCCACGATCAACGGGGCGTTCAACACGCCAAAGCTCCGTTCTTCCCACGAAAAGCTCAGCGTCGTCGTGGCCCACGTCAACGGCAACGACGCCGGCGACTCGCCATTCTCGTCGTCGCGATCTTTGATCCAGTGCAGCAGTGTGTGAATGAAATCCGTCGACTTTTTGTCCTGGTGTTGCTGCAACCACGCAATCGTGCGCTCGACTTCGTCCTGCGTGACCGGGCGGGAGGCATGGCAATGCGCGAGCTGGTTGTCGATCGCCACGAGCGTCGTCATCTGCTCGACCATACGCATCTCTTGCGCGTCCTTCTCGACGACTTCCTGCAGGGTTTGCTGGTTGTCTGTCCACTTGGACGCGGCAGCAGGGCTCAGCAGCGTCGGCATCGTTGCGAAGTGCACGATCCACGGAACCTTCTCAAAAATGTCGAGTCTTTGTCCCAACCGTGTCTTTGTGTCGTTGATCTTGAAATTTGTATAGGCAGTACCTGGCCGGAACGATTTCGCATCGCGCATTGCATGGAGTCCTGGCCAATGTGGCCGACCGCCGTGGGTGAACTCACTGGATTCGAGGGGTTACGCCCGTGCTGCAAGGGCGGAGGAGAGGGATAAGCGGGTGGTGGCGTCGTGCTGGACGAACAGAGTCTGCAGTATTGGAGGGGCATTCTCTGTCGAGACCGATTATGGCAGCATCTCAGCACACACGGTACTGTAGCACAACGCGGCCGGCGGGCCAGTCGATCGATGGTCGCCGTGTGCCGCCTGCTGCGACGCGCGTATTGAGGTGGAACGCATAGACGGTTTCACTGGAACGAGCCGGGCGGCCCTGGATGGGACAAGCGGTCACAACGTGCTTTGACCATGGGATGCCACCGCGACCTGCCGCAAGGATATCGCCGGGAGTCATGCCCGCCCTTGTCCACATGACGCTTGAGCAAATTGAAACCACATGCGGCGACGGCGACGTCCTCTTGTGTCGCGAACTCGTATACAATCCTCACATCATGACGACGATGAACCCTGTCGTGGTCCACGGCATCGCGACCGCCGCGGTCTCGGGCAACTTTTCCACCAAACACCGCGATCTCCCTGGTAAGTAGTTGCTTCGCTCCCGCTCGACGTCTTCCGCTGTCGCTCATGCAACCTGGTTAGCCTGGACATCGTACGCACTTGCATGCCGTTCCTTGGTGCTGTAGCGTGAACTGCTGCTCGTGTGTTTTCGTAGTTGTGGTCTACTCCTTCGGCTCCAGGCAAGCTTGCATGTCCTGGAAGCCACCGGCGCCGACATCCGCGTCACGCCACTCAAGCACAAGATCCACTCGATGAAGACGGCCACTCTGAATCGAGTAAGCCATCACGACGCATCATTAAGAGTTTTTGGTGACTGGGTCATAGTTTGCCATCCGCCGGCTACAACCCTCGACTGGCGATGTCCTTGGCGCACTTCGCCGCCATCTTGAAACTATCGCAGCGAAGACTCCGTGTACCTGGCAGGACGCAGCTACATCCGACGACCCCGAATTCCGTCGCATTGTAACCCGGGTGTTGGATCTTGTTCGAACCAGCGTGGCTTCACTCACTGCCGCTGAGCTCGACATGGTCCGCTATGCATTCAACAAGGTCGACGTGGAATGTCTTGGGTGGTGCGTGCGGGCTTTGGATGGCATGAGGGTGACGTTGTCAATCGTAGGCTCTTTCTCGAAGACTTCCCGAAGGCTGCTGCAGAGATCGACGGCATGGAGCTGTTCAAGCGCCACCCGACGTGGCAGGAAGCTATTGCGACTGCTTTGCGCACAGTAGACGCGACGAAATTCACCGCCGATACGCTCGTTGCTGCTGCCCAGTCCATTTCTCGACGGCACATCTCGTCCGAATACGATGTCACGCTCTACTGCAGCACGGCCCTTGTCGTGACTCTGTTTGAAGCAGTTCAACTGCTCGACCGAGTGGACTGTGGCTCGGTGGAAATGCCTGCGCTTGTGCCGTTGGTCTTTGCAGAGACAACTTTTACGGCATTCCAGGGACTGGCCGTCCGCCCCGACAAGGCGACCCTCGGCCACGAAATCCACATTCTGCCGCCCGTAACAGCACATCCCGACGATGAAACAGACATGAACCTCATCACGATCCTTCAGCGATCGTGGCGGTCGTGGCAGGCATCTTAATGCTCCATGGTCTCGATGACGAAGTGTGCACTTTTGTTCAATGAATGATTCGAGGCGTAAAGTTCAGCGTGTCTCGTGGAGCTCCCGTCAAAACGATGCCGCCGCACGATGGGGAACACAAGGTCGAACGTCGCTCCAGCATTGTGCATGCACCTGCGTCGAATTGTTGTCGAAACACGACGTCACTTTGCGC